ATGTGTCTCTCCTCCCTTTGTGGTCTCTCCCCACAGCTTCCTGTGCCTGCTCCCCTGTGTAGCATGGTCGAGCAGACCATGGTAGAATATCCTCTATCCAGGCTAACAGGAAGCTCAGTGAGAACTTCCTGTCATACTGTGTAGCGAATGCAGAAGATCCTCTACTGCGGTAAGCTTGGCCACACTATGCAATCACTGCCAGGAGTGGAGTGCTCCAAGGATCTTAATAGTGACAATATATCTAAATGTTTTAACAAAAATCCACTACATGAAATGTAAATGTGTGATCATGGGAAGGGATAGCAAGCTAAACATGAACGAGAAATTACACATAAATACAAAGAACCAGGAAACAAGCACCCATAACTGTGTATGCAGGAGAAAATGAACATAAATAAAGATCACTAAGAGCTTTAAATTATATTAGCTATATAAACAAGAGAAATTAAGAAATTTTAATGATTTTTTTTTAAAATGTTACTTATCTCTATATTTAACAAAAATGTATTTGTGAGATGCGGAAAAAAAAATAGAAATCCACACATCTTTCACCTGCAGCTGAACACCCTGCGTCTTTGCGTCCTGTCAATCCTTGCTATAAGCTCTGTCCTTGGCATTTGACAGTCAACATAGAGAAAGCATTCAGAGAACAGTAGAGATTAAAATAAGCATTTATTTTCATAATGTGCCTTGGCTGTGCCTAAACTGAACTGGATTATGGTGTAGTTTGCTAATATTTAATATAAATTCAAAAGAAAAACAGCATATTATGAAAAAAAGGTTATATATCATATTTCACGCCTAGAAAGAATTTGATTGGTGCAGTGCGGCGCTTTGCTGCGCATGTGTACTAGCCTTCAATTGCTACCCTGTGGAGAAGTCTTGGATTGGTTGAGATCATCAAGACTGATGATCTCATCCAAGAAGGTGGAGCGCAGCACAGAAACCAGCACACGCTGCAGGAAGTAAGGTAAATAAATCTTACCTAGGGAGGAATTACATAGGGGATGCCTACATAAGAATGGGAGCATGTGTTTGTATTGCTAATGGTATATTGCTCCTTTAAGTTTAAAAGCTTTAAAATAAATTGTAGCACAGAGAAATCATTTTATACAATAAACATTCTGCTTTTGACTGTGACTCGTGTGTTTTGTTTAATAGATCATAAAGCAGATCAAAGAACTGCCGATCAAAGAGCCGATTAAAAGGCAGTAAATTAACTTATCTTGTGACCTGAGTGGGAATATAATAGGTAAATGTGCACACATCGGCCACACAAGTCAGGTGAGATGTATCAAGGCAAACCTTTTCATGGTGGTTTCTGAGGTTATATCTCCTTATTTTGCCTCAAAACTGCAGATGGTTTTGCCTTCATAAACTATCATGTGTTAAGGTAAAAGCTTTAAAAGGTAAGGTAAGAGGTAAAGGTAAAAGTAGGAAAATAAACAACTTGTCCATCGTTGAATGTTTTCTTTGAATAATTCTGACAGTGAATTTCAAATGCTAGGCTAAAAAAGCTGGAAGCACAAATTAATTTTAATCCTGAGAATTAATTTTATTCCTGAGAACACTATAGTAACCTAAATTACTTTAGCTAAATAAAGCAGTTTTAGTGTATAGATCATTCCCCTGCAATTTCACTGCTCAATTCACTGTCATTTAGGAGTTAAATCACTTTGTTTCAGTTTATGCAGCCCTAGCCACACCTCCCCTGGCTATGATTGACAGAGCCTGCATGAAAAAACTGGTTTCACTTTCAAACAGATGTAATTTACCTTAAATAATTGTATCTCAATCTCTAAATTGAACTTTAATCACATACAGGAGGCTCTTGCAGGGTCTAGCAAGCTATTAACATAGCAGGGGATAGAAAATCTTAATTAAACAGAACTTGCAATAAAGAAAGCCTAAATAGGGCTCTCTTTACAGGAAGTGTTTATGGAAGGCTGTGCAAGTCACATGCAGGGAGGTGTGACTAGGGTTCATAAACAAAGGATTTAACTCCTAAATGGCAGAGGATTGAGCAGTGAGGCTGCAGGGGCATGTTCTATACACCAAAACTGCTTCATTAAGCTAAAGTTGTTCAGGTGACTATAGTGTCCCTTTACGTGCATGGATTTGTTTTTATGGCTTATTTACCATTGTGTTGTAATGCTCCCATTGTCCCCAGATAATTCAGCATTGCCCTCAGCTTACTAGAATCCATATTTGGTCATTCTTAGTTATATATTTGTAGCATTTTTGCCTTGATGTAATATTTTTGAATAAGCTTTTAATGTTAAAAATTATGAACTTAAATAAAAAAAAAAAAAAGTTTTCATATATTGCTATGTGTTTTTTATATGATAGATTTTTTTTATTTGATAACAAATCATTTTAAAAGTTTATCCAAAAAGAGTAAATCATTTGAAAAAAAGCTTATACAAAAGTATTATATTGAGGCTTTCATTTGGCATGATTATTTTGTGAATAACTTGTCCAACCTGCTTTGTAATCTAACCTACACAATTTCTAAAATATCTTAAGTATGCATGCATGTTTTATCTTCATAGGTTTCTGCATATCAATTCTACCTTTACTAACAGATGACCTTATATGGATATTTATTTTCAAATCATCTCTGTTTCCTTGACTTCATAACAGATTACGTAATCTGGAATTTGTCCCACCTGCTCTGTAACATATTACCTTATGTAGACTTTTTATATCTATTGTGTTTCCATGGCTTCATAACCAATTTTGTTATTTGGAATTTGTCACACCTGCTCTGTTTCATAACATATTACCTTATATAGACTTTTTATGTATACCATATTTTTGTATTGCTGTATTAGAGATTACGTGATCTAGTAGGTGTATTATGACATTTTTATATTAATTGTGCAAAATATTTTAAACACTATCTCACCCAAAAGCGAAATATAAATATTAAAACAATACTCAAAAATATATAGGACCGGCTCTCCAGGACCTTTCCCAATTTCCCATATGTCCAATGGAATACCAAAGCAAATAACAGAGCCAGTCCAAAAAACAACGAGAACAAAACACAACAGTGCAGAACCATAAAAGCTAAACTGTGGCAAAGCTTTATATTACACTCACAAGTATTAAGGAGTAAAGAGCCTTGAATCAAATCAATGCGATGGAAGCTTAGCGAGATCTGGATACACTGTATTAAATGTCCCTTCTTATACCAGCAGGACCGTTTCCTTCATGATGGACTTACCAGTAAACCTCCAAATTAGAACAGGGGATAATACGATACTGGAGACCGCCAAACAAGTAAAAAGGACACCAAATATATTGTACTTATATTTTAAATAAATAAATAGACATATCAGAATATCACCAGCACAGTGTGATCAATATCTGTATCAGCCTGCCCTACGCGTTTCATCATCCTTAACGTAACTTCCTCAGGGCACACGCATGATCCAGTGATTCTGCCAGGCCAAACACACTTGGATGGCTAAACTACCCGCACTATTTGCCGGCTGGCAGCGCTACCATCCTGCAGGCAAATAGTTAACACGACACAGTGGTGCAAGGTGGTGTTAGCTAGCTGCCACATCAAAAAAACACACAAAAAAAACCTCTGGAGGTCAATACTTTAATATTATTATAAGGCAGGTTTAAAAACCTCCCTATGACCCCACCTGCCGTGCCCTCTCATTCCTGGTTTGGCTGGGTTTGTTTTCTGTAAATTAAATAGAGCAATACAATTGTATTCAATGTAAATAATGTATAAAATATGTTTAAACAGCCTTATTTAATAAATGTTTTGAACATTCTGGTGATGGCTAATATGTCACCACTTCAAAGCAGTGAATTAAAACATGTTAAATTCTTTGTTAAAATATATTTACTTATTATTATATTATATATTTATTTATAATTTAATTCTAGGGGTATTTATCTACAAATTCACAAGAATCTACGTCTTAACTACAGTCACAGACTGGCTGTTCAAGCCTTAATGTTGCTATTTCATTTTTTTATGTCATCCCCATTCACTGTTTAGTGAATATACCTATACGCATTCTGCTATCATTGTATGGGCCTTCATTAAGGGCACTCATAACATGAAATGTCTCCCAACTCACGCCGTCTAAACAGCAGAACACACTGAAGTTATTCATTGTGTCAGAGTTCCAAACATGTACTTGAATTAACACTCTCAGCGTTGTTTAGTGAAGTGGGAATTGTGTGGAACTCGGTTTGATTTCAGGGAGAGTTTCACATTTTTAGCCAAAAATAGCAGAACAAAAAATGTAACTGAGAAAATGTTAGGAATAGTAATTTGCACAGGAAAATGCATACTCTACAGACCCAGCAATGAATTAACAAGCTAAGAGTACACTGCAACGTTTGGAAGTGTTGACTTTGGTTGATACTAACCTCTTATGTCAAGGATAAATAGTTTTTGGGGATCTGAATTTCTTCTTTACGTTACCTCTTAGAAAGTGAGGCACTTCCTAGGTGACATCAGATAGGCGTCTCTAGTCTGTGCTGTCATACTATGGCTCCCTCTGCTGTCTGTATAACAGCATTTCCTAAGGGGATAACATCTCTGTTTCCCCTACCCAGATTCACCGCTGGGGTTATTTCTCTCTTCTTCCTTTATCTCAGGTCCCTTCCGGCATTTAAAAAAAAATGAATGTCAGAGGACTCCAGGACCCTCTATTTGCATTGGCAGGATTTGCCTCGTATTCTCACACCAACATTAAAAAAAAAAAAAAAACAGCCTCGTCTATGGAGACACCAGAGACAAGTCACCATGAAACACGGCACACAAATTTCATTCAAATTGCTTGAGCTGCAGAGAACAAACATAGGGCCTTTTCCCCACGTTAGGTTGGGTTGACCTGTGATAAGCACGGACATACCACACATTACCGTGAGGTTTCTTTTTATGTGGATCTTATATCACACATTATTGTGAATTTTAATGCTGCAGAGGTCAAGGTTCCACAACAAAAAAATCTCAAAAGGAAATGTAAGTAAGGAAAACCCAGAGCTTTATTGTAAAAAATACCTCACAGTATATTGTGGCAATGGATGGGTATCAAGAAGCTCCAAAGCAATAATAGATCAGTTTAGATTATAGATATTTTTTTAAAGACCTGGATATTTTGTTTTTTGTTTTTTGAAAATCAGAATATTCAAGGAGATAATGAACATGTATGTGTTGATTGGTTATTTATTGAAAGAAAAAGCTGATTACCTCTAAGTAGTTTCTTTTTTTGTGACGTAATTGGACACTGCTTCAAATTTGCTTGTTTGATTTGTTTGCCTTCTTTGTGATCAGATTCCTAAAAATGTGAATTTTAAAGTTTGAACTCCATGAACTTGTGTATTTTTTCAACCTAGATTGCTATATAATGCTATACTAATCTCTGTGTTTGTATCTGGTCCGACTGTGTTATAATATGGTATATTCATCCTTCGCATGTCTAGGGGGGACAAAATGCACCATCGCCAAGCACCTTTGTCCATACAGCCAAAAATCTTTTAAATATTTTTGTAACAGATTGGAAACATTTAAAAAACATATCCACAAATAGAGATGTCGCGAACTGTCCGCCAGCGTTGGGCGAACATATCCGATTTCCGGTCCGTCCCCTATACGTCATAATTGAGTAAACTTTTACCCGGAACCTCACAGTCAGCAGACACTTCCTAGGAGGAATGTGTCTGCTGGCTGTGAGGTTCCGGGTCAAAGTTTACTCAATGATGACGTATAGGGGGTGGACCGGAAATCGGATATGTTCGCCCAACGCGAACACGCTATTGTTTGCCAGCGGACAGTTCGCGAACAGTTCAGCGGACAGTTCGCGACATCTCTATCCACAAATAGTATATCAAGGCAATAGTTAGGGCCCTCTGTATGCAATAGTTACATAACAGTTACATAAAGGCAATATCTTATTAATTCATTGATTTTCAGGAGTGAGGCAAGAGTCAATGACACCTGGTTACAGAATAGTATTTTTTTCCCAGTAGGTGTGACTATATAGACAGTATCTCCCATTCCACATCCATTTGGAGTTTGTTGTTCCGGTACCCCTGCTGAAGCCTAACCAGCAGATTGAAAATCTCATCGAGGCGCATTAGGGAGAGTGTGATCGAGTCGTGGCAGGGTGTCTAGACAGACACCATCTCAGGATATCAGAGAGCGGTTTGGAATCTGCTCTTATAAAGTGGTAAAGGCACAACACGGGGTTGTAGTTCCGAGGAGACCATGAGACCCTGACTTGAAAAGTGTGTTGTGGGCAATTTGTAAGAGCGGTTGCTAGGATCAATTCCCCAAATTCTACCAAAAAAAACGTACTCATGCTTTTGTTATTTGCATGCATATTAAAATGAATAATAAAAAAGAAAAAGAGTTCATGGTCTTCTTTTGCAGTTAACTTTTATAATACTTATACCCAGGCACTGCACATCTGCTTAGCTTGAAGATAAGGCTCCGCACCGAAATCATGAGCTCTTAATCCATGAATGCTGACCATTCGATATAATTTGAACCTCACTTCTGTGCATTCATCACGTGATAGATGTCTTGGTTCTCAAATTTCAGATTCTTAAAGGAAAATATAATGAAAGGTCAGGTTAAGTACTCCACGATTAAAACTTATAGCAATATAATCATAATCACATAAATAACCTGGTTTGCATATCCACTTAGTGGCACTCTACTATTATTAATTGGGCTATGCCAATCAATGATGCTCAGTTGGTATTAAGTATACTAAGGTGTGCCATGCAAATATTTCCCATACCATTCACCACAAGCAGTTTTAAAGGATCACTTTCACCCATTTTAATATCTATGAACTGTGCTGTCTTACCTTCAGGGCTTAACCATTTCAGAAAGATTTAAATGAAAGTCTGCAGTACCTTCCTCAGTCCTGCTCCACTGCTGCACAGGATAAAAAAGGTTTTGTCTTGGAAAGCAGTGATAGAGTGAGCATGTCAGCTTCTGCTCTCAGCCAATTACTGTGAGTAATAGTATGGCCCATCACTGACTGAAGATGGAGAAAAGAGGCAGAGAATTCCTGAGACAAATTCAAGAAATGGTTTAACCTCTGAAGGTAAGAGGGCACACAGTGACTCCGTCCCCATAACAAATTCATTGTGATGATGAGCATTTATGGAGGCTGGAGCCAACCATTGCTGTTCCTTTAACCATTGAATCATGTCAAGAAGGACCCATGTATTACTATTTATGTTATGCCTGCAAATGAGAATCTTCATTTGAACACAGAAGCTTTAAGGTATGGGATTCAGAAGATATCTCACCGGATTCCTTTCACCTTTTTACTACGTATTAATTTACTATTAAAATGTTACCATTTTTACCTCTAGTTTACTACTGTAATATTTGTACTTGCAGTTACCTGTAGTAATTAATAATCTGCTTGATAGGATTCAATTGGCAAATAGTTTAATATGTGCAACAAATGGCTAGTCTGTTCCACAACTCCCCGCTTGCCACTCCTAGCTGTAACTTCCTTTATATTACTGTGTATCCTTCTTCCTCAGGCCCAATGTATCTTCCATCCCTGCTACTAAGAATCTTCATTCCTACTCAGCTCTACCCACCCACCCTGGTTCCTTCTAACTATGTAGCATGACTGCTCTGGCTTTTTCCAAGCACAGTCAATCACCTCCTCATTCCCTTCACATGTTTTTAATAACGACAGTCACACTATAAATTTTCTCTGCCATCACCTGCAATTTCCTTTGCTACCTCTTTTCCTATTTTACCTTTAGATTGTAAGCTCATGGGCAGGGTCACCTACCTTTTGTATTGGTCTGTTTACATTGTATTGTTCTTACAATTGTACAGCGCTGCGGAATATGTTGGCGCTTTATAAATGCCAGTAATAAATTTAAAAAAGTCACAAAAAGTTGTCCCTACTATCTTGCAGTACAAAATGAGATATATTGGATCAGGTGAATGGGGATGACATTCTTACGCTGTGTCAAAATCTGGTGCACCAGTGTTCACTGTAGCCAATTGTGGGTTACTGGGTTACTTCAGGTCTATCTGAACCAGTGTTTTCTGCACCCTCATCTGACCTTTTCTATTTACAAGACTAATCACCTTTAGAACTAACGTTTACCAAATCCTTTGTTTTTTGCACCATTCTCAGCAAACCCTAAAAATGTTATTCATGAAGATTACAGGAGTTTCTGAATCACTCAAATCACCACCCCTGGTATCAACAATCACAGCACAAATGCATATAGTGCAGTGCAGAGTGTGCATAATGAATGTAGTGTGTGTGTAGTGAGTGCAGTGTGTATAATGAATGCAGTGTGTGTAGTGAGTGCAGTGTGTATAATGAATGTAGTGTGTTTGTAGTGAGTGCACAGTGTGTATAGTGAATGTAGTGTTTGTAGTGAGTGCAGAGTGTGTATAATGAATGTAGTGTGTTTGTAGTAAGTGCACAGTGTGTATAGTGAATGTAGTGTGATTGTAGTGAGTGCAGAGTGTGTATTGTGAATGTAGTGGGTTTGTAGTGAGTGCAGAGTGTGTATAGTGAATGTAGTGTGTTTGTAGTGAGTGCAGAGAGTGTATAAGGAATGCAGTGTGTGTGTAGTGACTGCAGAGTGTGTATAGTGAATGTAATGTGTTTGTAGTGAGTGCAGAGTGTGTATAATGAATGTAGTGTGTTTGTAGTGAGTGCAGAGTGTGTATAATGAATGTAGTTTGTAGTGAGTGCACAGTGTGTATAATGAATGCAGTGTATTTGTAGTGAGTGCAGAGTGTGTACAATGAATGCAGTGTATGTAGTGTGTTTGTAGTGAATGCAGAGTGTGTATAGTGAATGTAGTGTATAGTGGGTGTAGTGAGTGCAGAGTGTGTATATTGAATGCAGAGTGTGTATAGTGAATGTAGTGTTTTTGTAGTGAGTGCAAAGTGTGTATAATGAATGCAGATTGTGTATAATGAATGCAGTGTGTGTGCTGGATGAAGAGTGTGTGTGTGTGCTGGATGAAGAGTGTGTGTGTGCGTGTGTGTGTGTTGGACGATGTGTGAGTGCTGGATGATGTGTGTGTGTGTGTGTGTGTGTGCTGGATGATGTGTGTGTGCTGGATGATGTGTGTGTATGCTGGATGATGTGTGTGTGTGCTGGATGATGTGTGTGAGTGCTGGATGATGTGTGAGTGCTGGATGATGTGTGTGTGCTGGATGATGTGTGTGTGTGTGTGTGTGCTGGATGATGTGTGTGTGTGTGTGCTGGATGATGTGTGTGTGTGTGTGCTGGATGGTGTGTGTGTGTGTGGATGGTGTGTGTGTGCTGGATGGTGTGTGTGTGTGCTGTGGATGGTGTGTGTGTGTGTGTGTGTGTGTGCTGGATGGTGTGTGTGTGTGTGTGCTGGATGGTGTGTGTGTGTGCTGGATGGTGTGTGTGTGTGTGCTGGATGGTGTGTGTGTGTGTGCTGGATGGTGTGTGTGTGTGTGTGCTTTGGATGAGTGTGTGTGTGTGTGCTGGATGAGTGTGTGTGTGTGCTTTCTGGATGATGTGTGTGTGTGTGCTGGATGATGTGTGTGTGTGCTGGATGATGTGTGTGTGTGTGTGTGCTGGGATGATGTGTGTGTGTGTGCTGGATGAGTGTGTGTGTGTGCTGGATTATGTGTGTGTGTGAGGTGCTGGATTAGGGAAGCATTTTTTTTTTACTTTATGTGTCTATATTTTTTTAATTTTATTCCCCCCCTCCCTGCTTCTTACCTTGTCAGGGAGGGGGGAGATCGCCTGGTGTTATAGCTGGAGAGGGAACAGCGTGTGCTGGCCCCTCTGTGCAGGTGTGCTGGCCCCTCTGTGCAGGTAGCAGGGCCGGTCCTGCAGGACAGGTAATGGGAACGGCGTTCCTGCTTTGGAAAAAGTGCAGGAACGCCGTTCCCATGCGTTCCTGCAGGACTCGAGCCCTGGCTGACTGCTCTCGGCCAATGGCTGACATTCTGTGAAATGAAAGTTGCACAAAATTGACATTAGCCAGCCCAGAACTCTAGTTATGATCTGGCTGATGACACCCCTATGACGCTGCCAGAGGTGGAGTTACCCCTACTAAGTGGGCAGCTTAATGGTTAATCTCTGCATGTGCAGCATTTCAAACTCCTGGCACCATGACCACTTCAGATCAATGAAGTGTAAGCGAAAGTGAAAAAAAAGTGTGAGTGAAAGTAAATGATATATCATACAATGACATGCAACAATATAGACATTTGAATAAAATGTCTTCAAACCAAATTACCACATGAATTGTCACTGACGATATTATGATCTTCTGGGACATCTATCATAAAAAAAGTAGAAAAAAAAAAGTATTATTACTTAATAAAAATATTAAAGGAAAGAAGCTAAAAATTAAGTAAATAAAACAATAAAAATGTAATTAAGAACAGTATTTCCTAACTTCTTAATGACCAATGCACGGAGCATCCTACTTATTTACGAACAGCAGTTCTATAGAAGCCATGTTATCTTAAATGAGTACACTATTTCATTATAAAGTAGAATCTATGACTAGATTTTCAGACATATCAATATTTGACCTTAAGGGACTAATTTATGGTTTTACATTTTATAATTTAAAAATGTAAAAAGAAAACTAAAAGAATTT